CTGCTGGCAGATATTGGTAGGCGGGGGCCGATGGCGGTCGGCGGTGGTCGACGACAGCAAGATTAGTGCTGGATTTCAGCTCCTTCTCAAAGCTTCAAGTTTTTTCTCAAGTCTCAATCTCTCCTCTCTCTCAAGAGAGAGAGTAAGGTTCTATTTATAGAGTTCTAATTGCAAGTAATGAAGTAATATGAATCACTTTGATTGGATGATCTGACAATATTTTCTCGATCTGACGATGTTTGATAGACATTTGAAACCCTTAACGATGTCAAAATGGAGCAATCATGGGCTCGTTGGTATATTAGTGCAATCACGAGCTCCCCAAATTCGACATCATTTTTACCTTCTAAATATGCGCATAAGGTTTCTAAGAGTGGTTTAATAACTTAATTTGAGCTTGATTGGACTCATATTTGACCAATTTTGATATCATTGGGTCAATTTTTACATGCATACCACGATACCTATGGATGAAAAGCTATATATCACCTTTTAAAAGTATGACGGTGATATTTTTGTAGTGACATCAAATATCTGCGTGATAAAAATGTTAAGAAAACCAGTATAGTTGCAAGATGTGCAAAAACATAGGAATTGGATGGTATATTTGTAAATTCCCCTAAAAAATACAGGAATTCAACTTCAAAAGATTTGCCCTGACTCAGCTTGTCAGGCCACCATGAGAAAGCATCCTCCTTTAACTGCCATTCCAACTTCTGCAACTGTTCTTTCAGAAAAAAATTATCAAAATTTGATTGAACCTTTTCTCTTTTATATCTCTCTCCTGCAACAGTCAGTATTATCTCCTTTAAATTTCACATGCATGCATTAATTCATGCTGGCTCCAGCTCGTGTATGTTTCACTTTATTGTAAAAGGAGCTTTTCTGTTCATCAATGATTCTTCTCTATTTATATCCCAGCATTTCTACGGCCATCAAACAGATATATCCAAACATTTACACACACACACACATATGATTTTTTTTGCTTATTTAGAATTTAATCTCTCAGTCTATCTCATCAGAGACAGCTTGAATCACTTGTACGAAGGTAGTTATAGGATAAAACCATCAGGACTATTAGTTATGGCTCATATATCAGATAAGGGACAGATGTCGAAGAAGAACAAAGCAAGCTAGCGCAGCGGAGCGAGCGTAGCAGAGCTCAAGAGCGGAGTGGAGCAGAAGTATCTGTCCAATCGGTGGAGTTACGTTATGTGGGTTGTGGGTGAGGAGGCAATGCCCCGCGGTACGGTATAAAGTTAATTTTGTAATTACATAGTGTACTTCATTGCTATATATATATATATATATGGGTATTGTAAAAGATGTATTACATCAATTATTTTATTATTTTTTTTTTGTTCTATATAAAAGAGAGAAGAAATACTAGGACCATCTATTTCTCTCTCTCTCTATGAGATGTAATTCATCAATTATTTTATTTTCTCTCTCCAGTATACAAAGGTAAGAGGTAATAGAGCGTGGGACCCATCTCTCTCTCCCGCCGACCCCCCGACCCCCTATATATATATATATATGTATATATTATTCTCAAAAACTATTTTTTAGTATATTTCATTAGATATATTTATGAGGATATAAATGTAAATTTACATAAATTTAGGAAAATCCTTCACTGCTGCATCTCTGCTAATATTTGTGCAGTAAATCTCTAGCTTCAAATCTTATTATCAGAAAGAATATGTCAATTATTTATCGTACATAATTATTATGTATTTACATGCCTACCACCTAAATTTTTTATATTTACATTTATAGCACATCGGTGCGTCAAAATTTTATATTTTACCTTTTTAAAAAGATAGTGACCGTAATATTTTAATGTGATGTTAAGAGATTAGAGAATTTTACATATATTTCTATTAAAATTTATGACCTAAGCTATAATTATTATTTTTTTCTCGATAATGTAGAATCTATATTCATGGAAATTTATTT